TGTGGTTTTAATTTGCATTTCTCTGATGACCTGTGTGACCTGTGGTGCAGAACATTTTTGCATATACCTGTTGGCTATTTGTATGCCTTCCTTTGAGAAATATCTATTCTGCTCCTTTGCCCATTTTTTAATTGGGTTATTTGTTTTCTTCTGTTGAGTTGTTTGAGTCCTTATATATTTTGGATATTAACTCCTTACCAGATATATGGTTTGAAGATATTTTCTTCCATTCTGTAGATTATCTCTTTGCTCTGTTAATTGTTTCCTTGGCTTGCAGAAGCTTTGTAGTTTGCCATTATCCCATTTGTTTATTTTTGCTGTTGTTGCATGTGCTTTTGGGTTTATATCCAAAAAATAATTGCCCAGATCAATGCCATGGTGTTTTCACCGTGTTTTTCAATTACATATTTGTTTTAGAATACATCATTCTTTTTCATTAAATATTATACAGTATATGTTAATATATGATGATTTAGCATTATTTTAAATAAATAAGTATTTTAAAAGTTCTCAGTTTTAACTAGGGGAAATATTGGTAGATATAACCTACAATAACAGATGTTCTTTGAAATACCCAGTATTTTTGAAGAATGCAAGGGGCTCTGAGAACCAGTGATTTGGTAACTTTTGTCCTAAAGAATGCATTGCATGTGCTGAGTGAACTCTCCCACAAGGCGTGTAGGTTGGTACTACCTATATGTCATCCTTAGGAAAAGTGAGAAAAGTCATTCAAATTATGTTTCATGGGGCTTATTTCTCTTACGGAATTCCAGTTGAGAAAAATTGTTCTGGATTTCTGTATGTTGGTTCATATAAAATATGTTGAACTGTAATTAGTAGATAAGCCCTCTATAGATGTTAGCTATTATTACTACTTTTATTAATAGTTGTGATCATTTGATGGTTACAGGTATTCAAATGTTTTCTCTCATTTGAAGTTTTGATTTTTAATTGTCTTTATGATGTGCTTTTTGTGTGTAGAAATTTTAAACTTTAATCTGTACTCAAACTTATCAACATTGTGTCTTGCAGTTTATTCTTTTTACATCTTGTAGAACAAATTCTTCCCTTCTCCAAAGTTATAATGATACACTTTTATATCTTCCTCTAAATGTTTTCAAGTTTCCAAGTCTTCCTTTTCACAGACACAGGAAACCACTTATGTCAAGATCACCAGTGATCTCCATGTTACTGAATCCAGCGTCCAATTCTCAGCCCTCATCTCATCTACCCAGTAGCAGCAATTGCAAGGTTCCTTTCTCCTTGCTTCCTGAAATTCTTTCTCCACTTGCCTTGGGATACTACACTCACAGGTTCCTCTTCTGCCTCACAACCCTCTCTCTCCAGGTCTGCTTTGGGTCCTCCTCTTCTTGAAGTATTAGGGTGTCTCTCCTGGGACAATGTCCTTGGATGTCTTCCATTTTTTGCCAGTTCTCACTCTCTAGCTGATCCCATCCATTTCCTTGGCTTTAAATATCATCTATACACTGACGACTCAAAACACCTATTTCTTAGCCTCATCCTTTCCCCTGAATTCTATTTTATTCAACTGCCTGTTGAGTTGAATAAAAGCATCTCAAACTTAATTTGGCCAAAACAGAATATTGATATCTCCAGCCTCTTTCTTCCATGTTCCCCATTTCAGTAATATGCCATTAATTTTGTGGCCTAAGCCACACGTTCATTCTGTTGTTGAAAGGAAAACTTCAGCTGAATTAAAGGAAGTTAATTGAGCACTGAATGATTTGCCAATCGGGCAGCCCTCAGAATCACTGCAGATACAGAGAGACTTCAGGGATACCTTGTGGTCAGAACAAATTTATAGACAAAAAAAGGGAAATTGGAAGTAAGGTACAGAAACAGCTGAATTGGTCATAGGTTGACGTTTGCCTTATTTGAACATAGTTTAAACACTCAGCAGTCTATGAGTGGTTGAAGTATGGTATTGTTACAGGATCGTCATCCTAAGGTAGGGTTTCAATCTTGTCTACCTATTGAGTTTGGTTAAGGTTTGTCCTCTCTATTTGAGAGGACTCAAATAGAGAACAATGGAGTCCTTCTCAGGCCATATTTCATTCACTTTTACACTATCTAACTATATTTTTGTACCCATTAACCATTCCTACTACTCCCTACCCCCAGCCCTACTACCCTTCCCAGCTTCTGGTAACCATCATTCTACCCTCTATCTCTATAAAGAACTTTATTTCTTTTCCTTTTTTTATTCTTTTTTAAAAAGAGACATGTTCTTGCTTTCTCACCTAGGCTGGAGTGAGTGCAGCGGTGCAATCATAGCTCACTGCAGTCTCCAACTCCTGGGCTCAAGGGATCTTCCTGCCTCAGCCTCCCTAGTAGCTGAGACTAGAGGCATGCACCACCACACCCAACTAAAGGACTTTATTTCTTAAGGTTCCTTGTTTTTCTCAGATGACAAGAAATCTGGAGATGTGCTGCATTGGGTAATGTTAGTTTAGCTGCTCAACAAGATCGCCAAGGACCCCTTCCCTTCTTTCTTTCGCTTCCCCATCCTTAGCATGTGGTTTTTATCCTCACGGTTGCAAAAGTTTTCCAGCTGCTCCAGATGTCACTGCTTCATTCCTAGCAGGAAGTAGAAAGTGGGGTAAAAGAGTGAAGCATGAAGGTGTTTCTCCTGAAAACACTGATCCATTTGTTTGGAGAAGAACCCTTCACTGGAACATCTGCTTATATCTTCTTTGTCAGAAATGGGGACATCTGATCACTTATAGATGAATCACTTGCCAATGAGAATAATATTACCTGATGGGATTAGACCAATTTTTTTTTTTCTTTTTTGAGACGGAGTCTTACTTATTGCCCAGGCTGGAGTGCAGTGGCATGATCTTGGCTCACTGCAATCTCTGCCTCCTAGGTTGAAGTGGTTCTCCCACCTCAGCCTCCCGAGTAGCTGGGATTACAGGTGTGCATCACCATGCCCGGCTCATTTTTGTAGTTTTAGTAGAGACGGGTTTTCACCATGTTGGCCAAGCTGGTCTTGAACTCCTGACCTCAGGTGATCTGCCCACCTTGGCCTCCCAAAGTGCTGGGATTACAGGCATGAGCCACCATGCCCTGCCAGATCAATTGCTTTTTTTCCTTTGGCGTGGCGGTAGAAATTCTCCTTTCCTAAAAGACGGAGATCTCTGCTGCACCCTGAACAACTTGGGGTTCTGTGGTGAGGCAGGCATGGAGGGTGGGTAGTTAGTTGGTAGTGCCTGCTGTAATAGCTACCCATTTTTTGTGTTGCTTTGTCTTTTCTCCTTGCTTAGCAGGATGGGTAATCCTCTTATCATTTATTTCTACCCACTATTAATTTGAAAGTTTTATAATTCTAAGGAATGGTTGCCTCTTTGTTTCTATCAGTCACAATTAAATCATTAAATTGTTGTTTCTTTACTACTATATTGCTTGTAACATACTTAAAAATAACAATGCCCTCCTATATACATTTGGAGAATTACTGCTGCCTTGCACATATAGAAAAACCTGAAATTTCAGTAGATCAATATGATGAAGGTTTATTACTTAACTATTTCACAGTTTGATGTGGGTTGGGTAGTTCTTCCGTGTGGCTTGCTTTCAAATATTGGCTGATGGATCAGGATGCTGTTTTTCTTGAAATTCCACCATTTATTTCCAGCTGGGTGGACAAGAGTGAAAATGGGAAAAGGCACACCAGCTGCTAATGGCCTTAGCCTAAAAGTGGCACAAATCCCTTCCCTGACATTCCGTGGTTTAGAATTCAGTCACATGGCCCCACAGAACTGAAGAGAAGCTGAGGAATGCAGTCATCTGTGGGCTCAGGAAGAGACATGGGGTGGTGAACATTGCATTGTTACTGTCCTAAATTGTCATTCTGGCCATCCACACATTTCATTCTTTTCCTCCATCTAAAATACACTCACTACCTCTTACGAGGACACCTTCAGGTCCCAGCCAGTCACTGCATCCAGCTCAAAGTCCACTGTCTCCGGGGTTCTGCACTCATCTCTATCAGGTCTGAATGTGCTGAGAAGACATAGCATTTAAACATCTGTCACCCCTAAGGCACTATATACAGTGCTGGAGCAGGGTCAGAATACCCACTAAGGAAATGCCACCTGGAAAAGTGGAGAACATGAGAGCCACAGTCTCCAATCTATAGCATTTCTGAAGTCCTACAGGTCAGGCTCCATGAAGTTTCCCTGCCTTGCAGTGAAGAGAATTCCTTGAGTGGACACTGACTCCAGCCTGGATGAGGCTTTTTGTCTTCGATTCCCATTGGCCTCCTCTGAAGTGAACGTTGAGACTCTCACCCTGTAGACCAGTGTAGCCTTTGAAACCTGTCTCCTGGTCATCAGACTTGGATGCTCAAGGGCCGTTTAAGTCATGAACAACCAAAGACTTTTAAATCCAGGCTCAAAAACTTAAGTGGCTTCAGTTTGCTTTTGTGTCCCAGTAACAATATCTAAAATTCTTTTTTTTCTTTTGCTTTTTTTATATTTTGACACGGAGTCTTGCTCTGTTACCCAGACTGGAGTGCAATGGGATGATCTCGGCTCACTGCAACCTCCACCTCCTGGGTTCAAGTGATTCTCCTGCCACAGCCTCCTGAGTAGCTGGGATTACAGGTGCCTACCACTGTGCCCAGCTAATTTTTGTATTTTTTAGTAGGGACAGGGTTTCACCATGTTGGTCAGGCTGGTGTCAAACTCCTAACCTCAGGTGATCCATCTGCCTTGGCCTCCCAAAGTGCTGTGATTACAGGCGTGTGCCGCTGTGCCCGGCCAACAACATCTAAAATTCTTTTCTAGACATATTTCTCATTTTGACATTCTTCCTTTGCCCCTTCACCCCTGTGCCTCTCCGTTTCACCTGAAGGGCATCTTCCTTGATGCATTTTGTAAAAGTAAGTGTGAGAGATCACACTCTTTTTAAACAATTAAAAATTTTTTTTTAGAGACGGGGTCTCGCTATGTTGCTCAGGCTGGAGCACAGTGGACATTCACAGGCGCGATCCCGCTACTGATCAGCACGGAAGTTTTGACCTTCTCCGTTTCCGACCTGGGCCGGTTCACTCCTCTTTAGACAACCCGATGGTCCCCCGCTCCCAGGAGGTCATCATATTGTTGCCGAACTTAGTGCGGACACCTGATCGGCATAGTGCACTACAGTCCAGTACTTCTGGGCTCAAGGGATCCTCCCACCTCAGCCTCCTGGGTAGCTGGGACTACAGGCATGCACCACCGCACCCAGAGAGAAATCACACTCTTAATGTGCCAGGGTTAGTCTGGTTTCTCTAAGGAGCAGAGACAGGATGGGATTAATCATGCAAGGGTTTTGTTAAGAGAAATGCCTAGGAGCGAAGAAAGGTAGAGAGCTGGAGGAGGCTGAGAGAGTCATTGCAAGCTGACCTTGAGTGAAGGAGAGGGCAAGGGACAGTGGGCGGAGGTGTTCTAGGCAGCTGTGCAGTCCAGGGAACAATCCTTTGGCAAGAAGGTGGGTGTCTCCTGGGAATGAGCCTGGTATCCTCAATAAAAGGCTAACAGCAGCCTCTGGGAAGCAGGTCCTTAAGCAAACAAGGGTACAGGAACCGCGGGGCTCGGTCAGTGTTGCTCCCTGTTGTTGAAGGTGGACAGAGCACATCCTCATGGCCACCACAAGAACTTCACAGAGCCTGACCTGCAGGTGCTATGTGCCCTTTGTCACTTTATTAAGCTTAGAAGTTTTCCTACACTCTGTCATGCAAAACCTTTAAAAATTCTATCTCTTGCAATGTAGTATATGATGAGATGCTTTTTCCAATCCTGTAACATCCCAAATTTCTGTATTTGCTCTCTTCCCTTTCATTTCAGCTTGCAAAGCACTCAGTTCTTTCTTGAATTCATTTCTTTCTTTTAACACCTTGCCAAACACAGTCCCTAGCAACCAACACTTATTCCTAATGTTCTGTTTTTCAACCTCCTCCCTTAGAATGAAGAGTTCAGAAAGCATGGGGTCTGCCTTTGAAGTTACAGTGTCTAGCTTTTTAACCAAATATTTAGTGGCTGCATAATATGGATCTCCAGCCTGTTCAACATAACTCACCACCCAACTGCTAAAGCAGTGACACAGAGTTTATACTTCTGTTTCAGCAGCACTCCGCTTTTGGGATACATTTTCATTTTAGTCATGTAATCAGTGGAATCTGTTGTAATAGGCAAACTGAGAAATCTCAGTGGCTGAATATAGCACAAGTTTATTTCTTGCTAATGTTACAGTCTGATGTGGGCCAGGGAGACTCAGGGCCCCAGGCTACTTCATCTTACTCCACCACTTGATTCCTTGTTTCTAGCCAGTGGACATGAGGGAGAGAGTGCAGAGAAGGGCCACCATCTCCTAACTGCTTTGGCCCAGGAGTGATACAAGTCTTTTCCTTCAGAGAGTGCTGCAGTGGCCCTTGATGTTCTTATAGCCAAGTCCAAAGCTTGTACTGCTTACCACACAACAGCCAATAAGTTGAGAGAAAGGTGTTGGGGCAAGGAAAGCGACTTCATTTCCAAGACCCAGCAAACTGAGAAGATGGCAACTAGTGTTCTAAAGAAACTCCTAAGCTAATATGAATTTTGGGTTTCTTTTATGTTAAGGGAAGGAGGATGAGGGAGGGGTTGAGGTTAAAGGGTGACTAATGACTATGGGCATCTGGGCAGCAGTGAAGGTAAACTTCTTTGTCCTTGGTCAGGTCACAATGCTTTTATACATTTTTAACATAACATTGTTATTGTGTGTACACCCTTTTTGTCTCCTGGGGGGTTAGTTTTGGGGGGGCCTATTAGCCTTGTTTTAAAGTTAAACTATAAACCAAATTCCTCCCATTGTTAGCTTGGCCTGTATGCAGAGGTAAGCAAAAGCAGTTAACCTAAAAAATATCACCATGGGGGCGGTGGGGCGATTTAGGAGTAAATCGGAGCTAGTCATGGTCGGCTTCCTTTTCACCGTTGCATTCTCTCTGCTGGAGTTTGAAGGAGAGCTTGGCCTTGGACACCTGCCCCTGCAGGCTGGTGTGGCTGTTGTGTTTCTCCCTAGAGAAATAAGGAGTGGGAGATGGTTGTGAACCTGCACCCAGGCCAGGATCTCTCTGGAATTCTTTTTGTAGATGACAAGTTTCTGTAGAGTGATGTGATGGTTGTATACCACTGGGCAGCTTAGGTCATTCCTTACTGATTGGAAATCAAACCTGTTTCTTCTTCCTTCTTTGTTTCTCCTTCTATTGTGAAGCAGCGGGTAACAAGCACATCCAGTGGCTCCTAGGGGCAGATGGCGAGGTCTGGGTCTGGATCATGGGAGAAGGCCCTGGTGACAAGCCCTATGAAGAGATCTCTGAGGAGCTGATTGCAGAGAGGGCACGGCTGCAGGCACAGAAGGAGGCTGAGGAGCTCTGGTGAGGGGTGCTATGGGGTGTTGGGTGGGGTCTGGGCATGGAGGCCTGGAGTGGGGCCAAGCTAAGGACAGTACAGTGTGGGTGGGAGAAAGGAGGCCCAGTCAGGCTACCTGGCTGTTTTGAGCTCTGCTAAGATCAGGTGACCAAAGCATCAGAGTCTTGTATCAGAAAACCTCATGGGCTTAAATCCTGGCTCCACCAATTAGTAGTTGGCTGATCCAGGGCCTCAGTTAACATATCTGTGGTGTGGGCGTAACACCATGCTTCCCATATGGACAGAGTTTGGATTAGCTGAGACAACACATGCCACAAGCTTTTGTTTGTTCTCTCACTGAGTTCTCATGGGAATGGCACCGCAGTTTACATTCATGTTTGTTATCTACTTGTTCCTCTTTGTATTACCCATCTTTCTCACACAGGAGGAGCAATTGAACCCCAGTGAGGTTTGGAGTCAGACCCCTTTCATAAACAACTTTAAGATTTTGTCAGTCAATTTGAAAATCCATGTGAAATTGACTTCAACATTTTTTTTTTGAAGATGGAGTTTTGATCTTGTTGCCCAGGCTGGAGTGTAGTAGTGCGATCTCAGCTCACTGCAACCTCGACCTCCTGTGTTCAAGCAATTCTCCTGCCTCAGCCTCCCGAGTAGCTGGGATTGCAGGGCTGCCACTACCATGCATGGCTAATTTTTGTGTTTTTAGTAGAGATGGTGTTTCATCATGTTGGCCAGGCTGGTCTCAAACTCGTGACCTCAGGTGATCCACCCGCCTCGGCCTCCCAAAGTGTTGGGATTACAGACGTGAGCCACCATGCTGGCCTTAATGATGGCATTTTAATTGAGAAATTCTCAAATTGTGTAAACAACACTGAAAATAAAATAAAGAACAACTCATACCCACCACCTAAGATAACCGTAGTGAATGCTTACTTAATACACGCTTTGTAAATTGTTTTATTCACACCTTGACAAATTGACTAATATAGATCCAAAATGCTACTTAAGATTACTATATGGTACAGGTATTTATTATATGATATGGGAAACCCAAACTTATTCGTCTTATTGATGGACATTTGGGTTATCTTTTTTTTATATTATAAAAAATCCTCTGACAAGCATCTTTTACATGCATTTTTGTTTTATTTACTTACGAATTTATTATTTACTCATCTTTGCTTTGTTTTGTTTTGTTTTGAGACAGGGCCTCACTCTGTTTCCCAGGCTAAAGTGCAGTGTCATGATCAAGGCTCTCTGCAGCCTTGATCTCCTGGGCTCAAGTGATCCTCCCGCCTCAGCCTCCTGAGTATCTGGGACTACAGATGCATGCCACCAGACATGGCTATTTAAAAAAAAAATTTTAGTAGCGATGATGTCTCACTATGTTGCCTAGGCTGGTCTTGAACTCCTGGCCTCAAGCAATCCTCCTGCTACTGCCTCCCAAAATGCTGGGATTATAGGCATGCACCACCATGCCTGACCTACATGCATCCTTGTACACTTGAGTGAGTGTACAAAATCTAGGAAATAGGATTTCCTAGCCTCATTTTCCTGGCTTCCAGAAGAATTATACAAATTTACACTCCCATGCATGAGAATGCCTGTTTCTTTCTGTCTTTGCCAACACTGAATTCTGATAGGACAAGGAAAAAATGCTCATTGTTTTTATTTCAAGTTCTGTTGCTATGTGGTCCTTCAGTTTTTCACACAAGCTTATACTTGTCGTGCTCTCTTGGTAGGAGACAGAAGGAGGCAGAGATCACCAAGAAGTTCCGGGATGCTCTGGCCAATGAGAAAGCCCGGATCCTGGCGGAGAAATGGAAAGTGGAGATGGAAGACCGCAAGGCTGCCAAAGTCCTGGAGGAACGCATCCATGAGGAATTCAAGGTGGGCCGGCGCATAGGGCCCTTGTGTGCAGCTACCTGCCTGGCCCTTGAGGCCCCTGGGGTTGGCCTCTGGTTTGGATCAATCCTTGGCCATTGATTAGTACTGGGTGCTTTATGAGAACAGAAATCGGCCATGTCTGAGCAGGAAGGACCTTGACACACTATTTGGGCCAATCCACTTCTGATTTTACAGATGAGGAAACAGGGTCAGACAGAAGAAACTTGGCCAAGGTCACATGTAGTAGAGGTTGGGGATAGAGTCAGGATCAGAACCCGGGTCTTTTGCATCCCAATCCACTAGTACAGAAATGAGGCCTAGAATATTCCTTGTTTGTAATATTCAGGTAATAATAACACTTTACTGGAAATTTTTATGAGGATTCAAAGAGATGACATATTCACATTTTCTGGTGTAGGATAAAGAGTTATTGGTCTGTTGACAGGTGCTGGTTAGAGCAAATAGGTTTTTCTGGTAATACTGAGTTTTTGTTTGTTTGTTTGTTTGTTTGTTTTTTGAGACAGGGTCTCGCTCTGTTGCCAGGCTGGAGTGCAATGGCACGATCTTAGCTTACTGCAACCTCTGCCTCTCAGGTTCAAGCGATTCTTCTGCCTCACCCTTCCAAGTATCTGGGACTACCACGCCCAGCTAATTTTTTTTTTTTTTTTTTTGTATTTTTAGTAGAGACGAGGCTTTACCATGTTGGCCAGGATAGTCTCGATCTCTTGACCTGGTGATTCGCCCATCTCGGCCTTCCAAAGTGCTGGGATTACAGGCATGAGCCACCACACCAGGCCTACATTGGGCTTTTTAATGGAAGTCTAGAGTCATCCTAGGGACGT